GATGGCTTCAGGCATGTAGGCAGTGAGAGGTCCGTGGCTCCAGGGTCTGGCAGCCACCAGCCCAGAAGGGTGTCTGGGAGCCTGAGAAAGAGCTTTGAAGCAGCAGGTCCTGGCCAGCAGCCTGGCCATCACTGCAGGGTCTCTGCCTCTCACTGGGGAGATGGATACCTGCAGCCCTCAGCTGCTCAGGACACCTGGTCCAGGCAGGACTCAGGCCTCTGTGGAAGGTGGGGCTACGTTGGCCTGGGCTGGCTGGACACAAGGCAGATCCCTCACACAGGGAGCCCGGGCACCCCTTCTGCCCTGCCTTGTTCCTCTCCTCCTTTCTTGCAGAGCACTGTGGGAAAAAAGAAATCAAATCACTCTAAGGGAGGGAAAAGGGCTGGGCTGTAGAAATATTTGTCTGAAAATAACCTTCATGCTAATCTGAGTCCTGACAGCAGTTCTTGAACAGGAGCCAGGTTAAACGTGTGCCTGGGCTCTCCTCAGGGACCAAGGTGCCTGGGCCATGCTCCAAGAGCCTGCTCCTTCTCTCCTAGGGCTGCACTGCATCCCCAGAGCCATCTGTTTCATCCCCACTCGCCTCCCTCACACCTCCACCCCCTCCCTTGCCACAGCACCCCCACTGCATCCCCCCATCCTCTGCTGGCCACAAAGGCACCTTGGGGCAAGTCCCTGTAAATCTTAGGGTCACCCCCATGCTAGTCATGAGTCATGGCCAGAATTAATGCCCATTTCTGGCAGAGCACTAGGCTGTGGTGGGCCAGGGAAGGTTTTTCTCACATAGCTGTCGGCTGCAGGAAGGGAATATTGCATCCCATCCCACCCACCTTGCTGGGTGGCTGTCAGAGCTGTCCCTCTGGCAGGTGGGGCTGGGCTCTCTGCCTCCTCCCAAGCAGTACAGAATGGCTGCACCACCCACCAGCTGGGCTGGGAGCATTCAGTGAGGCCACGGTGGAGCAGCTGGGGGTGGTTTGGCATGAAGCATTGCTGTCCATCTCCTCACGCTGAGACCTCCCACCACCCACCACAGCAGAGCTCAGCTGCCTCCCTGCCTCCAAATGTGGGGTTTTTTTCTGCCTTCCTTTCCTTCAGGGCCTATATAGGTAGTTTTTTTAAGGCAAAATTTGCAGGATTCCTTAATGTCATTGACCAAATTCCCTTCTCTTCCTAGGGGGCACAAGAGAAGAGCAGAGAAAAGCTCTCCCTGCAAGCAGGGTTGTTCTCAGCCAGGGACACCTAAGGAATCAACAGTAGAGATGACAGGAGTAGTAGAGCTCCTCTTTGCTCTTCAAAGTGCAACACCACTCAGAGTCTATGGAGCTGGTGTGTTTGGTGGACAGGCTGGACACCAGTGTGGGAGACAGCCGCTATTTCCCATCAGGTGCGCTCATCCCAGACCACACACCTGTTTTGTGTCAAAGGCACCCCGAGCTTGGTGGGAACGTCCAAGGGCCCTGTCCCTCTGGGGACACACAGACCTTTGGGCCTCCAGTGTCTCAGTGTCTCTAGCCAAGCAGCCTCATTGTTCCGCAAATCTCTTATTTCCTGTGCACCTCATCATTTTTCCTGTCCCTGGAAGACATTAGGTGTTTGCAGCAGACCATTCCCAGACTCTCGGCAGGGCAGGTGACTCCTTACCCCGTGTCCTGCTTTAACAAAGTCGGCCTTTCCCTTGGGGAGGAGCCCACCAGCCCTAGGGGCGTGTCCCTGTGGACCTGGACAGCCAATCAGCTGGCTAGTTTTGAAGATTGACACCTGGTTAAACCACTCCAGAGGAGTCGCACGCGCCCCTGTGGCAGAGCAGGTTTAAAAGCGAGCGAAGGCCCAGAGAAGCTGTTTTGGCTTTCGGCCTTTGAGCGGGCGTGTGCCTGGGCTGGGCCGTGCTGGGCTCTGCTTGACGCTGGCCCCTTCCTGGCAGAGCCTGCTGGTCCTTTTTTGCCAGTGGTGCCGCTGGGCCGTGCCACTGGGAGCCATCCCAACGCTGGGTACAACTGTGAGACCGGGAGCAGAGCTGGGAGCGGCCCCATGGTCGACATTGGGGGCAGCCCCGGGGCCAGGAGCAGCTGAGGCCAGGAGTGGCCACATGGCCGGGACTGCGCTGCCAAAATCGGCACAACCAGGACAGCGACACACAGCCATGGCTGCATTGGCATGGCTCACAATGAACTTTGTTTAGCCGCTTTTAGCCAGCCATGCTGGACAGAAGGACATAAAAAGGCTGCAGCAGGTTTTCCTGTTTTTTGGTGCTCCACATGAAGAAAAGCACTGAGAGCCAGCGGCCGGCACAGCTCGCATGGTGTCGGTGGAGACCGCATGGCCAGCAGCAAGAGGCACGGCGAGCGAGCTCTTTGATGCAGAGTCTGGATGAGATCAGCCTTTCAGTGCTGCAGAGCTCCATAAAAACTGTTTCAATTGATTAAACTTGAGAACAAATGAGCCTACAAACACTTTCCTTCTCCTGAATCAGGAAAAGGAAAGAGTGAAGATATGTAGAGAAAAAAACATAGGACACTGAGGTCAGTGAAGAAGGAGTCAAATTTTAGACAGGAGGGGATTGAGGAGATGCCTTAGTTTTAGGCTGAAATTATTTTGTAAGGCTATGATGAAGATATATTTGATATATCAGACTTTGTTTTTTCCCTGTAAGTCGTGGAATGCATTGGGGGGAATGTAGCGTTCTAACCACAGCCGTGAGCAGAAACATCCATGTTGCAGCTGCTGTGATCCAATGAAAAGCTTGAACAGAGAGAGATGAGAGAGAGGGGAAACCTTGCCCAGGAATAGAAAGAAAGAAAGAAGAAAACCTCTGTTCCCAGAGATGGATGAAAAGAACTTTTGCTTTTATACTGGAACAGCTCATCCTTAAAATAATTCCCCATAAGTTGACATGGCCCATGAATACAGCTGTGGGAAGGCTGCAAGAGATGGGAGGGACTTCACAATTGCAAGTTTCTGGGTAGCTGCTATATGTGGAAATTAAAAACCACAAGAGAACTGTTTCTTGAAAGGAAGTCTCCATGGCATGGCAAGAGAGACTCCTCTCCCTAAGAGAACTGAAGAAAGACTGTTTCAGAGGTCGCAAACTGACTTAAAGTCCCAGGTTTTGTCTCTTTATGTTTTCAGTGGGAAAGAAAAGAGGGTATGGGGGGAGAAGTGTTCTGAAGGTTTATTCTGATTTTCTTTTTATATTTTTGTTTTAATTCTGTTAATAAAGTTTTCATTATACCCTTTAAAGTTTTGAGCCTGTTTTGCCCTCCTCCTAATCTATCTCGCAGCAGGAAATGAGTAAATAATTCTAGTGGATGCATTGGTGTTTGGCCAGCACTAAACCCACTACACCTGGTGACCCAGAGTAGGCTTCCATTGCTCTCGAATTGGAGCTCACCTAGCTGTAAGTCCCTGGGTGCCCTTCCCTCTCAACCAGCTCCCCTGCACTTGTAGTGTGTGGCTGCTGCCTCAGCTCCTCGGGCCAGCGGGGCCCTGCAGCCCGTTCCTGGCAGAGGCTGAGCCTGCCTGGAGGTCTGTCCTATCTGTCCAACTCTCTTAACACCAGGGCACGTGTGATATGGGATGACCCAAGGCACCAGGGCTGCTCTGGGTGCTGAGGTGACTTGTTCTTTCACCAGTTGTATGCCGTGATTTCTGCTCCAAGTACAAGCACACCCCTTTCAGTTTTGTATTTCACTGCAGAGAGAGACCCAAGCCCATCTTTTCTGTGCCTTGGTGGGGATGAAAGTGCAGACCTCTGGGCTGCTTTGGATCTCTTGCCTCTCTCTGGCTACAACATGACATCCAGCTCCCTCTCAGCTTTGGCTGAACTCGCCCTCCTTGAACATTGGTAACTGGACTCATACACAGTATTCCTGTTTAGTTTTATTCTTCTTCATATCTTTACAGAAAATGGCACATAAATCACAGATGCTGGATGACTAGAAGTTGTTACAGCTCCATATCTCAAACACCTCAATACTGAATTATTTTCTCACTGTATATACATTATTTACACTCCATGGGCTATCATCTAACACGTCAAACGATTGGGGGACAAAGACAAATGGGTTGGATGACTGGGCTTAACCTTTGATGGAATTAAAACAGTAGCTCTGGGGAAAGGGTGCTCACAGCTGAAAGCAGGACAGAAAGGGTCACCTGGGAGTCACTGTCCTATGGCTTTCGGAGGGGGAACAGTGCTTTACTGGGATGGGAAGGTGATGGTACCATGGAGTGAGCTTGGCTGTGTGGGTCTGCGTGTGCTCCTATGGGATGTATGTACACGTTACAGGGTGTATCAGGGTGGATGTGCATGGCTGTCATTCCCTTTAACACTCAGAGGGTGTGCTGGACAAATTTAATTCAATAAATACATTAGGTGGATGTTGTCTCACCTGAAATAATGTATTCAATAAATAAATTCACCATTCATCCCCTCTGCAGGGGTGTAGGGTTTTGGTGTTTAGGGCAGAGTCAGACCCAGCCCTGCAGGAGCCAGTGAAATGGGCTGGGGTCAGCTCAGGGTGCCAGGTGGGACCAGGGTGTCGTGCCTGTGGGCTAAACCTGCCTCTCCCTGCCAAAGAGAGGCAGAACATAACTGCTCTTGAGCTGCAGTCCCTTCCCAGCAGAGATGGGAGCAGGGAGAGATGGGTGGAAGGTGCAAACCACCCTAGGAGGATGGTCATCGTTTCATGCAAGCACTGCCACGGGCTTGTCCTGCTGCAGCCTGGGCCACAGGCAGAGGTGATGGCCAGCAGAAGGTGGCATGTCTGCCTGGGGCACGGTGGGACAGGGCACAAGGGGAAGGGGCCTGGGCAGCACTGGGCAGAGATGTGCACCAAGGAGAGAGGGAATAGGCTTGCTTTAGGAGGGTAAATGGGGTTGGGGGCTGCAGCAGAAGGAGAAAGCCCCAGAGCCAGTTGTGAGGCTGAAGGGACCAGAGCCTTAGTGTCATTGGTGGCAGTGATGATGTGACACTTCCCGGTCCCCCAAAAGGAAGGGGTGGGGGGTGAGGAAGGCCTGGTGGGGTGGAGGAGCGAGGGGCAGGGGTATGCTCAAGGGCAGCAGGCAGTGGGCACCCCTGCCAGGCAGCCCCAAACACAGAGACCAGGGCCCCTCTCCCTGGCAGGGGTGGCCAGGGACACCTGGCAGTCCAAGGGGGAACATGGCCCCCAGAGGACACAGTGTCTGTCGGGGCTGGCTTCCGCCACCTCTGTTCCCCCTAGATCAACTTCTCCTCCTTCTGCGATGAGTTCAATTTCTCCGTCTGTCTCTCGTCCTCCGCCACTGCCGCCTCCTCCCCTGTCTCCGCCTTCCTGCCTGGGGCTGGGGTGTCCCCGGCAATGGTCCCCAGGACTTTGGTGCTGTGCTCCTGAGCTTTGGCCCTGAGGGCAGCAATGCTGTTTTCTCTCAGTTCCTCCTGGGAAATGGTGGTTTTGGGATCAGGACCCCTTTCTTCTTTGTCACCTTTGTCAAGCTTGGGCAGGGCCTGGCGCTCCACCTCTGTCTTCCTCCCCGCCTCAGCCGCTGCCTCCAGAGACTTTTTGTGCATCCCTAAAAAGAATTGTTGGTATTCGGGTTTAGAAAAGCGCCTGGGCATGGGAAAGCCATCTTGAACTGAAAACAGCAAAGATAAAGAGAGGCCAGAATTAAGGAAAAGCAGAAACCCTTGCTTCACACAGCAGTCATGGTGAGCCACTCGCTCTGGCCCCCGCACAAGGGCAGCCCAGCATCTGTGGACTGTGGCTGGTCCCAAAGGTCTGTAATTACTCTCCCCTTCATTTCTCTCTGTGAACCTGAAGCTAACTTGTTCCTGTATGGAGATGAGGGTCTCAGACAGCAGCATAGCTGCCTGAGCTTCACTGAGACTGGGGAGAGAGATCCCTCATTAGGAGGGATATTTCTATTTCTGTGTCAAACCACAACCACCCTTTTGCCTCTCTCCATTTCATACAGACAGAAGGACAGGACAGCCCATTGTCAAGATGCCAGATACTAGTTTTGGGGCAGAACCAGCCTGGAAGTTCAGAAAGAGTAAAGCAAAGAGCAGGAGTGTGACAGGGTAGCTGCTACCTCCACATCTGCACAGAAAACTGAGTGAAACTTGGGCAAAGACAGAGCATTTGGGAATCCTAGCACCCCATCCAGCATCACAGGGCTGGAGGAGTGAGACTGGGATGACCTCCTGGCTTGGGCAAGGATTGGAGCCCCTGCTCCAGAGCTGGTCTTGAAATATGCTTGAGCCATGGGGAGGGGAGGTGAGCACCAGCCTGAGCATGTGGGCAAATTGGTGTCCCAGCCAGATTCTGCAGGTCATGATCCAAGGTCCAGCAGGAATTTGGGATGAGTGGTCAAACCCTATTGACAAGTGTTGTTGTCAGATGGAGGCATCGAGGGTGGCAGGATGGAGGGACCTTGCCCTGCTGCCCCTCACCTGTTTTCAACAGGACTCTGATTTCTTGCCTGCATCCCCCTGTCTCTGCCCATGTGCCATCCCCCATGAAGCTGGCTGCTCTCTTACCCAGGAGCCAAGGGGCACAGGACTCCATGATGCCATCCTTGGCAGACTTGAGGATGGATTCAGGCAGCGGGATGGAGTGACGCACCATGGCACCGTAGAGCCCGTACTCAGCCATCACACTGCTCCTGCCCCAGCACTTCTCCCTCTTCCGCCATTTGGCCCGGCGGTTCTGGAACCAAACCTGGAGCGAGCAACAAGGAGGGACATGGGTTTTGTGCATGGAGAAGGCATGCCAGGCCCCTTCCCACGTGGAACATGCATTTACTTCTGCAGCATGATGAAAGCAGAAGGGTGGTTGTTTATCCCAAAGGCAATACAACCTCTTCCCCCATGCAACAGACATTGGGTATCTCTCCCTCCCTGCCTTGAAGCAGTGGAGAGGGCCAAGTGTGAAAGCAGGTCCCATCCCTCTCCACAGGATGTAATTAATTTGCCATTGCAACATCTTTTTTCTACTGGCTTTTGGCTCTCGTGCCTGGGATTTTCTTTTATTATTTGCTGTGTGTCTGAGCAGCAGTACAGGGCTGCAGGCAGCGGTGCCTGCAGGGAGGGCTGGGATGGGGGCGGATGCTCGAAAGAAGGGGGAAGCTGCTCTGTGCGCTTTGCCCTGAATTCCCAGTTTGAAAAACCCCTCATCTTCTCAGAAAATTGGCAGAATAATCTCTGAGCTGTGACCTGGGGGGCAGTGAGCAGGGAGGCAGGCAGCAGTGGCAGGGAGGGGGTGATACACGCAGAAATCTATTAGTGCTCTCTCTCCAATTTCCATTCCTCTTGTCTCCCTCACCCTCCTCCCTCCCCGGCTCCCCTCCCTTCTCCCCCCGAGCAGAGGCATCAGCTTTAGATGAAAAATTGCTTGAGGTCTATTCAGAAGGAGGCAAAGGAAGAGTCAGCCCCAGGGGCAGCCCAGGCCTGATTGAAAAATAAGTTAATTTCAGTTTGAATCGATGGGCCTCAGGCACTGAAATATCACGGGAAATTAAAGCAGCTGGTCCCCAGGGAACCACGCCATTGACCTGCGCTAATTAATGCCATGGAGTTACCAGGCCCCTCTCCGAGAGGCAGTCCCTCCCTCCCCGTGGACACCCCAAACACCTCCTCATTTAACTAATTAGACTCACAGAAAATTGGGTGTTAATTTGTTTAGGATTTTTTTTCTTTTCTATTTTTTCCCTCCCTTTCCCGGAAAGTACACGGCAGAATGGAAATGAATGTCGGGGTCTCGCTGGCAGATGGATGCTCGGGGTCACTCCGCAATCTTCTCCGACTTGATTGCTTGATTAGGTCGTTAGCACATTAAAAAAAAAAATTGCTTGCCGTCTGGCGCTGGCCTGATGAGTGGGATGAGGCGGGAATCGCCTGGGTAATTTATCTTTTTATACTGCAAAGAATTTGATTTCAATCTGCAGATATATGGAGGTGCCTTTGACACCTGTTTAACATTACAGAGCTGACAGCTTAACCCTCTCTTGTCCCCACTACTCGTAGCTGTAGGGGAGCTCGAGCTGCCGTGGGGAGCCCTGGGGGTCTCTGCCAGTCCCCCAGCTCTGCCATGGGGACCATGAGACTGATGCCACTGAGTGATGTCCTGGTCTCAGGTGGCAAGGCAATATCATCTCTTCTACCTGTGCAGAGCACTGAAACCTTATGGTAGGGACAGAGCTGCAGGCTAGGCAGATGGGTGGCTTGCTAGCACTGATGACAGCCACTGTTGGCCATTCCCAGGAGCCCAGCCAGCCTGCTCCCCCAGACAGCTCTGTGGAATGGCGGGGATGATGGTCCCACTGGCTGTGATCCCAGCTTCTCCCAGCAGAAGACACTCTGTGCATGTCAGAGAGGATTTTACCAGGCAAAAGAAGGAGGCTGCCTCACCACATGTCACCTCTGCATGAAAAACAGTGTGATTTACACTTTCATACTGCCGGCCTGTAACCCCTGCACTGCAAGGGTTGCAAATCCTCCAGGGTGTAAGCAAAGACCCTCAGGAATGCAGAGCTTCCTCTCGTTGCTCTCTCCTCCATGCCTGTGTGAAACATGGGTTGGCATGGCTGTGCAGCCAGCAGGATGCTGGCAGAGGGTCTCACTCCAGGCCATGCAATCCTCCCATTCCCAGAGCACAGGGTGCAGAGCTGCAGGTGCCTCTTTACTGGTGCCTTTACCACTTGCCTTTTCTCTTCCCTCCCACCCTGATGCCCCTATCGTACTCCTGCCTGCCTCATGCTCCTCTTTCTCCCTGGCTGGGTCTCAGCCTGCCCCAGCACTGCCCAGTGCCACTCAGCCTGCTACCCTGGAGCATCCCCTTTTCCACGGCGGTGTTACACAAACACTGGAGGCAGCAGAAGCTTTGCCAGCTGGCAGCCCAATTTTGACTAGAGCTGGTAGAAAATCTTCAATCAAAAAATGCTGATTCAATCACACAGGAAAAACTGTGGCCAGCCAGTGGAAGTGTAATCAAAATTATCTATAACTTTCTTCTGAATGCCGTATTTTAATCTCAGCTGCCTAAGACATGCAAAATCTATGCTTTAAAGCCAAATGAGAAAATCAAAATTGCATCAACATCTCAGTAAGATCATTCTGAGATTTCCAAAACCAATTTTTGTCATTTGATGGGAATTTCCTCCTTGTTTTGATTAGGAAAAATGAAAGTTTGAAATCCCAGAATGTTTAGCAGAACGGAAATCAGGAAGACTTTAATAGTAGGAACCATTTCTTCATCTGGAGCATGAAATGAAGTGAATCCAATGGTGCTCAGTACTGTGTATTGCTGGGATCAGATCCCAATCAAGCATCTCTGTCACAAGTTCATTGTGAGGAGCATTGAGTGACGAGCTGCAGCATGGCACTGGCAGCCCTCATGCCATTTCAAATCAGCAGGATTGTCCCATGTCCTGTTTTCATGATTTTGTCCTCATTCAGATGGCTCCATCAGTGGGGCTTTCATTTACGAGAAGCTCTCAGTGATTTCTTCAAATGTATCAAAGTGTTATCAAAATTTTCACATGCCTTGATTCTGAGCTGAATTGCACGGTGATTTTAGTAACTCAGAGCTATTTTCAGCTGTGTTGATACATCAGTCACAATATCCAAATATGCAGTTATTTATTATTGGCACCTCACTTTTCCAGGAGAGGGTTTCCCCCTTACACTTTACTCACCTTACACATCTCTTGTGGTTTTGGTGTTCTTTGGCTGTTTAATGTCCTTGCTTGGAGATATCTACTCTACAGCTTCCTCTGACTCCGAAAGATTTGGTCTGCTTCAGACAATGTCTAAGTTTGTCCATGTTTCCTCTTTCCCCTTCCCACCCAGGGATTGGCTCAGCTTTGTGAAATGCTTTACTGATGTTGCTCTGGATCCTGCACCTTCTTCTCACTTGTTTTCATCCGGTTCTCTGTTGCACAGCCCAGGGTATGGTGTAAAGACTGTGCTTCTGCTTCCACATCTCCTGGGCAGTGGTGAAACCTGATTAATTTTAGACTGAAGCATGTTTGTGCAAAGTTGTCATGACGTGATGTGCAGAGGTGTCTTTTGGACCAATGTGTTGCACCCCAAAAAGTTTCACACCTCTATTTTCACACAAACACCCTTTGTGAAATCTGGTAAGCTTGCTCCAGGAAGCCTATTCTCCAAAAACGGACAACAGAGAAAAGGGGACAGGTTTGTCTTGCAGTATTGCAAAAAGTGGGAATATTTCTAACTTTAACCATCACCTAATACTCACCTCCAGTGCCCACTGCCCAAAGCAATAAAAGTTCAGGCACTCTGTACTTGACTATAGGGTTTTGGAGTGGGAATTTTGGAGTCAAGACTGGCAAGGATAATCTCAACAATTTCCTCCTCTGAATCACAAATGACAACTGATACTTCTTCAGATTATTGATGGTGTAGAAGAGCAAATTGTAGGAGGAGAAATCTCTCATTTTGCAAGGGGACATAAGACTTGACACATCCTTGTTATCCACATTCATCATATTAGTTTGTTTACCAAATCAGTGTCTGAAACATTGTCTGCTGAAGAGAGAAATCTCCCTGAGGTTAGCCATAATTCAGAAATCTGAATTAGGGAAGGGATATTTTAAAACATCTGTGGTGTTCCTATGTATTTTTTCTGGTTTTTTTCAACCTGAAATTTTCCACTGGTTACACTCATTTTCTTGGCAGCTACTTTCCAAGCTAGGGTAAAAAGACAGGAAAATTTACATTGGAATTTTTTTTCTTATTAATATAAAAATATATATATTTTCCCTGCCCAAGCATTCCTCATCTATTAAAGGAAAATTACAGGCTTGATAATTGTGCGATTTTGCTTCAGCAATTCTCTCGTGCTGCCTTTGGTACGGCATTCCAACAGGGCATTTCAAGGAGCGAGGTTCCTGGAGCCCCAGCCGGTGCCAGCCCCGAGCAGCGCGAGCTGAGTGTCCGCTAGAGGGCCGCAGGCAGATGGACCCGCGGACACACGGACACGGACACACGGACACGGACACTCCAGCGCCTGCCTCTGCCGGGCTGCAGGAGCAGCTGGGCACAGCTGTTGGCAGAGCAGCCCCTGAAGCAGGGGGCAGAATCCCGAGAGCCCCGAGCCACGCTGCGGCCGTGTCCCCAGCACAGGGACAGGCAGGTGGGTGCTCTCTCTCTGCCACTTCCCCCCTTGAAGCACTCTGGGGGGCCGAGCCAACACCTCCAGCTGCCCTCCACATCCAGGCCCCTGCTGCTATCTCAGTACCCAGTTTCTCCTGACAAATACACCTCTCCCTTTCTACCTCCTCCCTCTCCAACCCAAGACTAAACAATGATAGTGCTCAGAATGAAAACCTCCTCCGATAAAACAGTGATGTCCTCATCCTCATGTCAGACAGGACCTGTAGCCCTGGCTGAGTTCAATCTGAAGATGTGGACACTGCAAAGAGTGGCCTCATATCTTGCTTGGAGCATGTCCCCACCCATACCCACGAGTACTGGGGCTGTATAATGGACTGCCATGAGAGCGTGAGGTCTGCCTGTGCCCTGGGGCTTCCTCAAATCCCTCTGCTTTAGCAATCACTACAGAAAAGCTTCCCGACTGCTGGTGGAGACGGCACCACTTGTGTAAGCCTGGAAACAGTTTATTGCTGTCTTTTCAAATGTAACGTCAAAGTTATTGGTTGTGTTTATGGTACATCACTTTCTATGGCTGGTGTAAAG